GAACTAGTCTTTATTCATAAGGAGGGTGTGGGTGTTAGCCTTCTTTTCGACCACACCCACACCCTCTGTTTCCTGTTCTTACCCACATTCTACACTCGGTCTTACAGAAACAAATGCAAGTATAGAGGATAATGGAAATGTTCTGTTTTTATTTTGTTGTTGAATAGATTACTGCTATGGAATATTGTACATTTGTTCTGTTGCTTGAAATGACCAACTACATCATTTAAAATTCATGTAGATCGACTCATATATAGCACATAACAGAATAGATAGTATAGAAGATGCAATTGAAACAGTTTATGTGGTCATTTCAGATTTTGATTTTAATCTTTTCAATTTTTTTTAGTTTTTATAGCCTAACAATATCAAATGATTCACAATAAAAATATAAATAAAACAAAATTTTCTATCTAGCCTCTTGTAGAAATGAAAGTGCAGTTCGATAGTTATCGAATCCATGGATGTCAACAATAGAATTTGTTAAGCTTTTGATTTATTTATTTATTTGGCATTTCTTTAAATGATTTTAAAATTTCTAACAATAAACTCCAAATTTCTTATGATCAGAATTAATAACTTCTACACTTAGACTCCATTAGAGGTCACACTAATAATGTTTTTTTGAAAAAATTCGCGAAGATCTTCTTACGTAGTATAGCATAAATCGAGAATCAGTTTCTAACAATTAATCTTCATAGATCTTCATAGAATTTCAACTTTGAGAAATATTTTGTTGTAATCAAGACAGTATCGAGTTTGCGTTAAAAGTTAAACAATTCTATATTACATGTGAAGAAAATACCCACACCCTTAGTCTACTATAGTTTTATTGTAAATGAGTCATTATCGATAAGATTTGTTTTTTTTCCAAGACTATGTAAGTGAGCTATTTATAACTACATAAGTTATGGTCAATATTTCTTTGGTAATTTAGTGAAATCAATTTAATCTCAGGAAAACGTATAAAAACGAATGGTCTCGGTCAGAATCTAAATAATTAAATCAAAATGAGTTTTTTTCAAATCATTGAAAACGTAGTGTAACGCTTATCTAATTGAAGGGTGTGGATGTGGGTATGTGTAATGAGAAGATATCCACACCCACACCAACCCTGTCTTTGCCAGAACTAATTGATTGCTGATGTAATTGTGCAATTTCAAGTTGAAACAAGTTTTATACGACTGCGAACTTTCTTCTATTTTGCGAGTAAGATTCTCGATGTGTAGCTAGTTTCTTGCAATTCAAATTCAGTTTTTACGAGGTTCATCAGTTTTCTTAGGGTTTAAAGGACATTTGACACACTCTAGAAAACAGAATGTGTAATAGATTTACGAAAATTCATCGTTTCACTGCAGTGCTGTGATCTGTTCTAGAAATCAGACGAACAAAATTTTATTTTATTTTTCTATTTTTAGTTTAGCTATTTGAAAAAGAAGGTCTTAATTCAGTCATTAGTATTTTGCTCATTCAGAATATATAATAGTGGAGAATAGATTTCAACGAAATAATTTGAAATGTTTTCTATTCATGTACATTGTGAAGAAAGATGGCAATTGAAAACAATAAAGTCTAGATTATAGTGTAGAAGCCAATTATAAATATTGTTTTAAATGTACATCTATTTTTATCTCTTCAAAAAATAACAAAAACATAGAATAAATTTTAAAAAGCTTCCACAAATACAAAATATGTTTGTGCTATCTACATGGAATTTTCCATCACATGTATATTCGAATATTTTTTAACATATTTCGATGAGTTACTTATTTTTAATGAATTTTGCCTATATGATGTACTCCTATTCTTTCTGAGAAACTAAAGTGTAGTTATCTTCGATCTTCGTGAGGAAAGCTGTGAATGAAACTATTTTGTGTAAGCAGACAGTATCTGTAGTAATATCAAAGGAAGAGAAAGAATAGATTGCACTTTATAGAAACAAGTAAAATAAAGGCGGCTTTCATAGTGATCGAAAGAAAATTAATATAGGAATTGTTATTACTCCATTTTGACTCGTGATTAAGATTGAATCCCTCTTTTGATAAAATCATTCATCTTATCCATTTAGATCCAAGTTAGATATGGAGCATTACAGAATACACGGAAACAATCTATATTTGGTTCAAAAGTAGTATCTAACAAGATCAAGAAGTCCTTATCTAAAGCTTAGCTAGTTGTAAAACATTGGCTTTACTTGTAGTTGTAATATTTGTTACTATTCATTAATATAAAACATTTGTGTAAACAAAGTAGATATTTTTATGCCTGACACAGAATGTCAATTTCCTTGGTGTATTTTAGAATAGAACGGTGATATCCGATAGTTTGAAAAGTGACTTTTGTTTTTCAAAAACTAATTTCGGATGAAAAATTTCGGTAGTAATCGGAGATGAAATGAAAGTCATATTTTCGACGATTCGACCTTAACTAACTCGTCTGAGTCAAATCCAGCAAGTTTGGTTAGACTCACCATGTCTGCTGTCTTGATTAGAAAAAGTCGTGAGAACAGAGTAGTAATCCGTACAACAATGAAGAAATCATTTTTTTAGAGCATCATATTGAAATATCTATCTCCTTTATAGTGCTCGTACTGATCAAAATTATTGGTTCTGCTGTACTTTTTAATACAAACAAAGGCCTAGATGCATTGGATGTCATTAGAATACAAGATGACGGTTCTAGGTTTCGTTTAGTATAAGAACAGTCGAATGAATTTAATGCTCACAAAAATTAAAACGTTTGACATGCCATGCAGAACCAATTTGCATCAAATCGAATTATTTTGAAACCCTAATGTAGTGAATAAGAGGAGAAAAAACTCATTCTTCATTAATTAAAAGTCATATTGATTTTGTCATACTTTATCTAGTTTTTCCAAAGCCTCCTTCAGTTTTTATCATCGTTCGTACATTCTTATGAACTGCACATATGAAAATGCGTGAAAGATGAAGAAATATCTTTAAGCAAGATTTTAGCTCCACTTAAGCCGGTCGATCACTGTTTCTTCTTCTTACTTGTTATTGGTGGACAGATTCTTCGATCAATCATTGATATTGGATAACAAACAGGAAGATTATGACATCGAGGATGATAAACACAGATATGGTGTGGTTGGTAACAGCGATAGTTAGATGGTTCGCATGTAACTAGTTCAGAACAAGTCATATACTGGAAGCCACACAAACTGACATTAGCAGTACCTGACATATGGAAACAGGCACAGGCAGGATTTGATGAGCATACACCATGCTGGGATGTCCCATAGCATTTTTGAGATTTTACGCGTGCTAATAGCATATATAATTAATAGCAGAATGATTAAAATGAAACAAGGAGGTCAAACCTGTGAGGCTGAAAAGAAAGATTGTTGAACATTAAATGTTTAAGAAAATAATAAATTTTACAATAACCTGAACAGGACAAGTACGAAAGAACGAGTTGCTATCGAGATCATAGCTTATTTTGAAATGAAACAGAATAGTATCGATACCCATTTTTATTTCTAATGAATAGATTCATCTTTTATTACATTCATGAAAAGTTAAAAAGCACACAACATAATCTCTCAATCAATAGAAAATCGATACGATTCTAACGCCTACCTAATTTATTTTTTTCAGAAAGAAAAGGCTTTGTAGAAGATAAAGTGCCATTAAAGAAATATGAGATTGTTTTTACGATACGAACAATCAACAGGTTGATACCATTACTTCAAATACGAATATTGCTTTTTTTTTCAATTATTGATTTGCGTAAAACTAAGTTAAATCAATTTCAAAGACAATGTTTTTTGTAAAAATATTCGTAGTTCTTACTGTAAAGAGTTTAAAGAATTTTACTTATTAATTCAATAAAAGTCGCAATTTATCACCAGTCACACTCATTTGCACTTTGTATAGGATTTTCATGGCATCTCACGCATTGCTTTGTTTGACTTTCATTTTCAAATCTTATTTGTAACATAGTCACGTTCAATTTAAAAAAAAGACATCTTTGAACTTTCGATCACAAGACCACTTGCTTAATTCTGAAGGAAACGATTTTCATTTGTTTTCTGCTCATCTTTCTTTCGGATTAGTCATTTGCCTAATTAAGAATCTTTCTATCTGTGCTGCCATCACATTATAGTCAGTATGAGAGAATTTTCTATAATATGAATCTTTTGAGACTTAAGGACACCTTCGTATAAATATACACATATGAAGATCTATTTAAAAATAAAAAATCGATTTTAATTTTGTACCATCCGAAAAATTAGCATTTTCATTTCATAAAATTTGTCTTCCTCTTTTGAAAACTTGAGAATATGGGTGTATGGGTATGGCTGTTCTCTAAATTCACATCCACACCCTTGAATGTGAACACTCGAGATGGATCCTACAACAAGAAGTAGAAATATGCTATTGAAAATTGATTTTCCTCAAATGGAGAGCAAAAAACGATAAAAAAACATCGATTTTCGTGAGTTTTCACTGAAAACATAAAATCATGGATGCCAGCCGATAATGTCCAATATTTTTATACCAAAATAATCAGCTCAGCGAGCTCTAAAACCGCTGAAAGCTCCACGTTGTTTGAAGAATCTTCATGTAATGGTGGTAGATATCCCATGGAACCACCCTCTTGTATCATTTGCGTAATATGTACAGAAATGAAAAAGAAAAGCACACGTAAATTTTTTACATGAATCATTTTAGAATCAACGGTGAATTTTATCGCGATTTATTTTTCTACAAAGGAAGAAAAAAAGCAAGCACATTTTTGTCACAGATCCGACGGCAAAAGAGTAACATTTCAGTTTGTCTTCTGATCACATTCGACGATAGATTCGTATACGTGCTTAATACGCCAAAAGGAATGAATAATACTGTTCCTATATTTGTTTTATTACTCATTCATTCTAAATATAATCAGAGCGTTTGCACTTATTTTGATCGGTAGTTGACGATTAGCAAACTGCCGAAAGACAACAAAAACGACGTTTTGTTTCAGATCATACTATGCACATCGTATTACGTTTCATTCTGATTCTTATTGTATTGAGAAGTGTTATTCACTGTCACGATGCACATGGTGGAAGTGGAAGAGGTGGTGGTGGTCATAGTGGTTTCGGAGGTAATCGTATTTAAAAATTGTTTTCATTTCAAAATTCTTTCTCTTGATTCAATTGGTTATAGGTGGTAGCTATGATTCACATAATAGGCATGGATGTCGAGGGTATCACTGCGGAGAAGGATCAGGTATCATTGCAGTCATCATAGTAGGTGGCATTTTCGCCCTGATCGCAGTTATCTTTGTTATTGTATTGTGTTATTATCGATACAAACACAAATCATTTCAATCGAACTCAGCATTTGTCAATCAAGCATCGGCAAAGAGTCGAATGTATGATAAAGATCAGTTTGAGACAGGTGTCTGGTCTTGTCGATACTATCAGTATAATAAATGGCATGGACCTTATCATTTATCACTTTCATTTGATCGTTTGACGTCAAAAGTGAGTGGTCAAGGAATAGATGACGGTGGTATATTTAACATTGATGGTGTATTTTCTTCACAAACTCATCGAATGGATCTAATCAAGACATACGAACAAGATACGGGCAATTCAAATGAAAATATTGGACATCCAGTTACTCTACAATTAACTTGGAATTTGGATCATAACCAATTTGAAGGTAAATGGTTTGTTCGAACAAGTAATTATCGTGGTGAAGGCAAATTTGAGCTCAAATTAGACGAGTTCTCAGAGTTACTTATTGATAGATTGAATGATTGAGTGTGGCATTTTGTTTTTCCTTTTCGATCATTTTTTTTTGTTTGTAAATTTCATTTAATCAAATATATAGTTCTTTATAACATTCGATATATTATTTGAATTCAGAGACAATATTTGATCGATTACAAATGGTAGATTTTGTTTGAATGAAGAAAGTTTATGTCAAGGGTATGCTCAGTGTCATCAAGCAACTAGTGCCCTGGCCACGTAATCATCTTCATAATGGGATGAGTTCACTATTCTAATCGAGGAAGGGTGTGGAAGTTGAATAAGTCATTCACTATACTATACTCCACAACCATACCCTACACCTCAAATATTTTTCAGTGATGTATGATTGATGATGCAACAGCGTTTGCGGTACCATTGGTTTATCGATAGGCGAAAGAAAGGTAGCATGAGTCATACTTACAAACATGCTGCCTAATAACATTGAATCAATTAATCGCTTGAAAATTTTGGCAAGAAGAAATAAAGAAAACGATCGAATATTATAGCTAAGTCGTTTTTTCCTTTGATACTACTTACGAGGGAACCTATTCAACTGTCCAATCGCTTTTGAGTTCGAACTCAGTTTGAAAGATAGACCCCAGTGAGGTATGAAAAGGCCCAAAAGGATAAGTGCCCATAGGCCTTCCGTCCAGAGTTATAGGCATTTTACTAGATTTTTAGCCTATGGCACAGTATATACCAAAAAATCGAATGACAATATTTCGAGCTGAGATTATGTCCAAAGATAGGTCTATGTACCAATAGAATGCCCTGAAAATTTCAGCTCAAAAGAATGTTCCAATCTCGAGATATTGAACACCCAAAAGCCAAAAAATTCTAGCATCATTCGCGGGATATGCGTGATTTTTGGGAGTTTAATATCCCGAGATTGAAACATTCTTTTGAGCTGAAATTTTCAGGGCATTCTATTGGTACATAGACCTATCGTTGGACGAAATCTCAGCTCGAAATATTGTCATTCGATTTTTTGGTATATACTGTGCCATAGGCTAAAAATCCAGTAAAATGCCTATAACTCTGGACAGAAGGCCTATGGGCACTTATCCTTCTGGGCCTTTTCATACCTCACTGGGGTCTATCTTTCACACTGAGTTCGAACTCAAAAGCGATTGGACAGTTGAAAAGGTTCCCTCGTTAGTTGATTTGTCCTGTTTCGCTCGAGGTTGCTATAACAGTAATTTTCTTTTTGCCTACTTTTGAGGTAAGGAAAATAACCCAAAACATTGTAACTCTATATATCTATAAATGAAATCTTTCGTGCACCTAGGGTAGTCTTTCATCATTAAATGCTGAGGATTTTCAATTCTCAGTTGTTCCCTCATATGGGTCCTATTAATTTAAAGTATTATAGGATAAGTTTATTGTAAAAATCTAAATTACGGATAATTTGATTTAGTTTCTATAAATTACGAAGTAAAATAATTTAAAGTTATCTTAAATTGACAGGAAAATGGCACCGATATCAAAGCATAACTGAAAATTAAATTTACCCTTTTAGTTACTTTGTGTATACACAACTTCTCTCATTCGATTGCTCTGACGATTTCGGAGAAGATTGATCACAAATAAATTTGAAATCTTTGGCCAACGACACTTAGTCAATCTCACTCATTTGACTCGAAGACGCTTTTTTTCAGAAAGATTAATGAAGGGGCGATCTGTGCTTTCTTTGATAAACTGTATATGGAGTCTATCGAAGCTCACACATTTAGATTTTCACCATGGTTCTCAGTTTGAGCTGAGTATCTCTGGCTTCCACTTTCTCGAGTCAGCTGTGACATCATCAAGTATCACACATCTATCTATTTTGGCTCTGGATAGTGTGCATTATATAAATCTGACAAATTTGTTTGAATGTACACAAAATCTTCAACATCTCTCTACATCATATTTATTATATACTCCTTCCAGAGTTCTATTAACGTCGCCCATTCTATCAATAAATTCTTTCGAGTTATTCCAATATTCTAGAAGTCATCTTTTACACCTTGATATTTTAAAAATCGATGCCCAATCTATGTCGATTGAAAGTGCATAGTTTTCCTCAATACGATGGACATGACTGGCAACAAATCATTTCACATCACTTACCCAAACTCAGAACATTCCATCTTGAAACAAGAAGTAGGTATGTAGACGAAGGAACTATTCAAGAATATGTTGATCAATTACTCAATACATTCCGAAGCCTATTTTTGGCTTGATGAACATCGCTGATTTGTTCAATATGATGGGGATCCAGAGATTGGTATTTTTTCTTTGTGAGGTGTGGATGTGGGTGGGTGTGGATGTCTTCTCATTACACATACTCACACGCACACCCACACCCACTCATACCCACACCCACACCCACACCCACACCTGCATTCACACCCACACCCACACCCTAATAATGTGTTATTCTGAGAAGTTCGAATATCTAACAGGATTGAAAAAGAGTAAACTATGAATTGTTGAATACAATTATAATTCTTTATTCTTCTAAATAACCAGAAGCAATAAGAGGAAGTATTGATGCTTCACCAGTTATATCACCAATAATCAATGTTTTAAGTTCCATGTATGATGGACAATAATCACCAAAGTTCACCAATGATTCATGATAAGTAAGTTGAATTTTACGTCCTAACATATAAGTATAACCAAATTCATCCGTATAACTACGTTCAAGATGATACATTGGTGCAAAACCATCTATGAAGTCAATTGGATATACATTCCATTCAAACAATTTCGACATATTGACTGGATTCCATTCAGTATCATAATAATTGATAAATCTATAATATTGTACTGCTGAAATAATCCATTGATATTTAAGAGTAAATACATCACGTACAAAACCTTCTCGATTAAATGGATCACCACCTATGTCAATATATGTTTGTTTAAATTTATTTATTAAACGATCAGCATTTGCATGATCTATAGGTGTAGATGATGGATAATCAGTATCTTCACGTCCATCAATTGACCAAAGTGCAAGAGCTATTTGACATTTGTAAAGAAGCTCTTCTGGAATCGATTTTAAATTATCATCAAGTACATTATCAAGTTCGTAGAGCAAGAAATCTATGTCAGGATATATATTTTCATCATCATCATCTTCTTGTTGTTTGATTATTCTTGCACCTAATCTATAAAACAAGCAAAATTATTTCATGTCATTTTTACTATGTCAAAACTCAAATAGAATTTCTAGTTTACGTATATATTAAATAATAGGAAGTTATTTTCGAGAACGTACATTAAAATTACTATAAAATATAACCAAAAATTCATTGTCTAATAGAGTTGTTTTAATGTAAATTTTTGTCAACTGCAGCGTATGCTTTTTATTATCAATACCATTGTAATTCTTATCAACACATTCTTTTCTTTCTGTCGTTGTTCTCGTGATAAGAACAGACACAATCATGATGTCTCTCTTTCTTTTCAAGTGTATTACTCATTTTTTTTACTACTGTCGGAATTTTAAAAGAAGACACTTGGAAAAAAAGCTCTATAACTTTCGAACGAAAAGCCATAGCGACCTGCGCTTTTCAGCAATCGATAGAAGATTGTAGGGGGGGACATTTTTATATAAAAATCAAGGTTTAAATAATTGGTGATTGTGGATTCACTGAAAGAGTAGGCTCTTTATTTGGTGAAATCTCAGCAGAACAAGCTGAAACTTTCAGCATATATAGCCCCATTGTACCCCAATCCTCGCTGAAAATATCATCGATAAATCTTGTAATGACGAGGAATGGTGAGTCAATCATCATCTGGCCTTACATAAGGCACTCATTCACTCAAAATATTAGGAAATGGCCTCAACTTTTGGCTGAATAAATACCATAATCTAGACTTCATATCTATGCAATTATATCATAGTTTGATTAAATGAACGAAAAGAGACGATGAAAATATTACTAAATTCTGTATTTCTCTTAAGAAAGTTGGAAAGATTTGTTTTAAAATACTTACTGTATGCAAATCATTTCTTCGTCAAACTTCGGCTATTTCCGTACATTTTTACGATCAAAGTGCGATGCTATTGCATAGATATGAAGTCTAGATTATGGTATTTATTCAGCCAAAAGTTGAGGCCATTTCCTAATATTTTGAGTGAATGAGAGCCTTATGTAAGGCCAGATGATGATTGACTCACCATTCCTCGTCATTACAAGATTTATCGATGATATTTTCAGCGAAGATTGGGATACAGTGGGACTATATATGCTGAAAGCTTCAGCTTGTTCTGCTGAGATTTCACCAAATAACGAGCCTACTCTTTCAGTGAATCCACAATCACCAATTATTTAAACCTTGATTTTTATATAAAAATGTCCCCCCTATTATCTTCTATCGATTGCTGAAAAGCGCAGGTCGCTATGACTTTTCGTTCGAAAGTTATAAGCTTTTTTTCCAAGTGCCTTCTTTTAAAATTCCGATAGTAATATATGAATCTTTTCAGTGATTTTCATAAATGAAAATTGACAAGAATCATATCTAAATAAACTTGAATCTCGAACTATAATTATCTGTATCTTCTATTCATTGCGTGCCAATCTTTAGATTCTATCTAGAAATTTCATAAATGAGCGATTATCAACTCAAGGTAGTGAATATTTACACTGACTATAAGATCGGAATTGGTAATATATACTAAAGTGAAACTTGACAATCTCAATGTAAGATGATTTATAATTTGATATTTTTTATTAAAAGCCTGTTGAGTACGTATAAGTAGAACTCTTCTGTCACATTAAACAAATTATTTTACTGTTACGAAAAAAAAGAGAAATACTTAATTTCGAACGAAATGAAGTTTATTGTTTAAGTTTAAATTGCGCAAAACAATAGACATGAAAAATTTATCATTTAGTTTTTAAAACCATATGACTAATTGTTTTTTATCATTGATTTTATACATAAAATCATATTTATCATTTAAAGACATTTTCATCATAAATTCTTCAATAAATTGAATAAATTCATTTGTAAATATTCCTATTTCTGTTCTATTATTAATTTTTAATAATAATGTTTTTATATTTAAAAATTTGAATTGATATAAAATTTCTAATAAATTCAATATTTGATATTGATTATTTGTTATACATTTTAGATTTTTTATATTTATTGATAATAATGAAAAGCAATTTGCTAATATGTCTTCAGTGAGATCATCCGAATCAAAATAAACTATTAATGTTTGAATTGTTGATATATTTGATATTAAATTTTGATGTTGTAAATAGAGTTTAAAAATAATTTTTAATTCTAATAAATTAGGTATAAAATTGATTATATTAATAATAGATGTTGTTTGTAAATCATCAAAATTATCAAATTTTAATGATTTTATTTTCGTTAAATCAATTCTATGACATAAATCATCAATAATTTGAGATGATTGATCATTATTATTTAATAAACGATTAATTAAAATTAATGATTCAACATTCGAATAATAATGTTGACTATTACTTTTATTAACTGTAGGCGTTGAATTCGATACTTGATTATATAATTGAATATATAAATTTTGAACATTTTTTGTTGAATATGATTGATCTGTTATTGTTAATAATGTTTCTACATTATATAAGACTGTATGAAAATATTTAATGGGCCATGGTAATGTATAAAGAACAAATTTGATGTCAACATTTGGATTATAGTCAATTGCAAAATACCAATGAGCATTGAAAAAAAATTTTGTTTGAAATGTTGATAATATTTGTTTGATATTGATTGAATTTGATGGTAACTCGTATAAAGTGATATCCAAATGAAAATGCTTTAATAATAAAAACGATTTCAGAAAAATTTCCCATTTTTTACCATTACTATATTCAAATGACCAACAAGATATTGCTAAACGTTTTAATTGTTGAGATAATGGTTGTAATAATAATTGTAATTCATCAAATCCTTTAAATGTGAAAATAAAATAAAATTCGAATATCGGTTTTTTTTCAATTTAAAATTATTACGAATCGAAAAAAACGTCTAGATGCGAAAATTTTAAATTTTTCTATCTTTGTAGAATAGATTGAATTATTCTTTGAAAACATTTTTTTGGATGTAAACATTGGATATTTTTCGGAATGACGATTAATTTATACATAATATTTGTTGAAGCAGATTTATGATTAATATTAAAAAAGAACTATAAATCATGAATGTTTCAAGAAAATTCTTCATAATATCTTTTTAATATGCAAGTACGATAAAAAAGACATAAATTTTTTATGATAGATAAAATAGATAGCATCAAGGAAGAGTAAACCGATTTTTAATTCGCATGACATTTTATTAATCTCAATTAGTTTCGATTTAAATAGGACTAAAAACAAGTTCACATAAGTAAAAGAAAATATTCGTATTTATTCGTCTCTAGCTTCGAATTGTTGCTGTGTAATCGAACATACTTTATTTTCTACCGTAGAACCCTGAGAAGCTCAAGATAGTAAAATCCTTTTAATTATTCGAAGTTTGGGCTGACCTTTGTCGAACATTTCTGCGCGAGAGTCATGGACTCAAACGTCATTATTAGTCTTATCTGCAGGACAGTATCTCGTTCATATAAGAAAAGTTTCGTTGAAATTAACTTGGGATCCGCCTTCGCCAGTATGATGATCTTAATTCTAGAAGTAAATATCATGAAACGCTAAGAGACATCTTAGTTTTATAAAGGACTGTCTTTCGACCAAACATCCTGTTTACTTAAAAAAGAAACTAAAGCTATTTCTAGAATGAGAAAGTATTGTTAAGTATAAAATATTTTGAGAATAATAGAAAACTGTAAATACCTATTTTCTGTACATATAATTGTAAATCGTTTAAATTTGGTACCAATTGATGAAGATTATTATTAATAGGCATTAAGTAATTACCATGTATAATATATATAAACAATTTTTTTAATTTTGGTAAATATTGAAGTAATTCTTGAAATTGTTTAATTTGAAAATATCGATAAACACATAAATATTCAATATTCGATAATATTATTTGTGATTTTATTGACGTATATGAAGGATAATAATAATTTAAAAACAAAAGTTCAAATTGTTTTAATGAAGGTATGGTGATTAATTGTACAAATTGATTTAAATTTAAATTAACTTTTGATTGAATACGTAAGAATACTAATTGTGTAAACATTGGTAATATTGATAGTAAATAATTGATATTATCTTCATTTAAGTTTTTTATTCTTAATGATTTTAAATTCATTTGTTTTAATTGATCGAGAATTTTAATACAATTACATAAATCATCATCAATATCTAAAACAATTACTGTTTCATTTTGTTGATATTGAATTTTTGGTATTATTGAATGTTGATAATAATCGAATGTTGATTTTCGTTCAATATTATTCAAATCAATATGATATAAAGGCATTGAATAGATTAAATTATTAAATCTTTTATTCAAATTGTAGAATGATTGAAACAAATCATGAACATTTAAATATTCAAATATCATTAATAGTATTTCATTGGGTAATACTTTTTCAAACTGAGATGACATTTCTCTTGTTACTGGACAATAAGTTCCTTTATACTGCCTTTTCACTAGAAAATTTAATTATTATTTTATTGCAAACAGAAATCGCACGACTGAAGGCTAAACATGAGAAAAAACATTTCACGATACATTGACATACTCTTTTTTGTTCTTATTGTCTGGAATATGCAACCAATACAATTCTGCTAAATAACCTCCTTTAAAGCATTGATTTCTCTTTTTCTCTTCTATATACTATTGTACGACGTGTTTTATGTTTCTAATCAATGATTTATTTATTCAATGAGAAAGAAACAAAAATATTACAATATATGTTGTAATAAAGCGACATGGAACATCTGTTTGAGGAAGCAGTAACCTATACAACAACGATTATACTTATATAAGGATCAAAACACTATTAATAGTTCTGAAGTAAATAAATCGAGGATGTGACTGCGACTGTAGGTAAGAGATAGGTACTTAAACTACATAGATGCTGTAACGTGGAAATTCATCTCGGCTAATCTTCTAAATTATAATTATAAATATTTCTTGTGACTTTCGATATAATTCGTTCTTTGTCTTTGGCTGAGATAAAAATTGAAAATATGTGTAAGACATCAATAAAAACACGTCATTTTATTCTTTTTTTACACTTTTGTCATCAGTCTTAGCTTTTATCATTTGAATTAGATCATTGTCAGAGTAGAGATGTGTAGCGTCGGTGACGATACTGAAATATTTACGATGTTATCACCGATATGGTGCTCAGCGAACACCGACGACACTGTATCACTGATCACTGGACTTCGGAACTCCAGGTCTATGTTGAAGTCCATATGTGTTTGGAAAAGATGTAACCGCTCCAGCTTAGTTCTATGGAGTACGCATACCATCTTGAGGGCTATCTTATAAACCTACCCATAGGTCCTTAAGGGCTATTCTATAACGTGTATCCATGAAACCGTAAAGGCTATGCTATAGAGGTGTCCATAGATCTTTTAAAGAGGAACATATCAAAAAATTCTACATAGAATTCTCTCTCTTCTAACATCAGAACCAAACTCTCTGGAGAAGTCTAACTTGGAAAAACTGACTATCAAAAGCCGGCAATTTCTTCTGCCGTATGTGGAAATATTCAAACATTTGAAATTTTCCTGATATTTCTTTTTCAATCTATTAATAGTTCAATACAATGTCAGTTTAAATTTGTAAATCTCTAAATGGCAAATATCAATCAATATTTTTTTTACAGTAAAATATAATTTTCTTTATGTTTGTTTCTATGTAGAAATAAAGCATCTGTATTTTAATTAACTTGTGTTAATTTAAAAGTGTTCATTAGAAGAATTAGATTTTTTATTCTTGAAAATTTTCTCTTGTTCACTTATCAATATTTGAAGTTTTTTTTTTTTCTATCCAATGCCAAACCTCAAACTGAGAGTCATATTCGAAATCAATCTATATTATTTTATTTTTTATCAAAGTCTTTTCTAAGAGTAGTAAATCGAAATGTTTAAGAAATAAAGAAATAAAATGAACTATTTTGTAAATCTGGTAAATCTCTAATATCTTTTATATGCAATTGAAAATTTTCTATATTAAAATGATGACAACAACAAAATAAATTTTATATTTTATAAAACTTTTCAAAAGTTATTATAAGCTATGAACTATTTTGAATATTTAGAAAAATTCGTAGAAGTCAAATAAAAATGAGTTTTTTTTTCCTGTGTATTTCTGTTTTATTTCAACTTTGAAGAAATTTGTTATTCGGTTACAATATTTAATTCAAGAACAAAAAGTTTCATTCGACATAGGACGAGAAAGGGCAGATATATATTTCATTGTATGAAAATAAAGTTATCTTATGGTAATTTCTAAGATGTTTACAATCTTAGAAAACTACTCGAGTTTTTTTTTTTGTTGTTCAGAAAAGAACTTCGTCAGAACTTTGGACATATCAGAATTTCATATAGTATTATTCTTTGAACAATATTTCTTCTGTAACTTGACATCATATATTTTTTGTACATTTTTACAGTAATAGTGATGAGTACGAATATCATTCGCTCTTCCATAGCTTTAGGATCTTCACATCTTCAAGATAGTCTATCAAGTGAAGAAATTTCTGTGTATTTTATAAACGTATTGAATTATTTGTCTTGTCGATGAATGAAAAGTTATAGAATTATATGTACAACATTAATTGAATACAGAGACCGAAACGGGGAGGATTTTTACACTCCGCCTACAAAACAAATTTCTTTAATCCGAAATATTGCTTTAATTTGACGTTCCGTTTCAAACTCTAATATTACTGGACATCTGTAGAGAGAGAATAATGAGAAAGAGCAAGCATGATTTACATCAAGAAGAATCAAAATGATTTTTGGCATATAAAAAACCATTTTTTCACCATGGATGCTAACAGAGGTCAAAAAAAATTGAAAAAAACACTTTGGAAAATGTATGTTATAAAACATTTGGAACTCATTGCGGATTTATAAAATAAATTATTTATTGGAGTTCTAATGTGTTGAGAAAACACTTACAATGGAGGGTTGGGAACTGTATTTCAAGAAATTCATTCATTTTAGCATCAAATGAAAGATCTCATCATGTAATTAAGAAATTTAAAATTTGGCATGCCCATACTGTGTGTTAAGGAAGATAATTGAATTTCAAGGTATCAGCAGTCTGAAGTTAAAATAAGAAAAAACAAGAACAATTGATGCTTATACGTTCTTCTTACTTATCATCATTTTGTAGGAAAACCTTCTTTAGAATTGTGATCACACTCTAGGCATTTGATTCAAACTGAACACGATAGTTGTAAGTAATAAGCGCATTGATACATTATTTGGTGATCTATTGAGTTTACTGTCTCATCTTTGATGAGAGGAAGTCACCGTCGGAAAGATGTTCATAAACAAATTTCTTCAATATTCCACTGAAGCTATTGCATTAACAAGACCAGGTATCGACTGAAAGAAATGAATCTAGTGATTATCATCAAATACTTTTATTATTTAGCTCAGCCGTAATATGGTCCTTTTAATTCGACGACAAGTTCTGATGAAATTTCTGCTGCGAAGCAATTATTTCAAATTCTAAAGACTTTCGGAAACAGTTATTTAAAAATTCATTAATTCATCTGCTATCAGTGAATTTAAGCATGAGATAATATTTTTAGATGAATCAAAACTTTCCTGCCGCCGGATATCAATACAATTTTAGATAATTAGAATATTAGTGAGATTCTAATCGATTCACTATCTTGAATCACAATTCTAAAGACGGTTTTCCTACAAAATGATAATAAGCAAGACGAACATATAAATATCAATCATTCTTGATTTTCTTATTTTAGCTTCAGAGTATGGGGTGTGGGTGTTGGTGTGGATGTGTGGGCATGAGTTTTTCTTCTTCGATCATCGACATCCACACCTACACCCACACACTCTGATCGACCCATAATAGCAAAAGGCGGAATCCAGGCATCCATTTGCGTGTTCGAAAACACAAACATCTGCTAACGTGCACTAAAACACAACACACTGACGCATCTCGACACTTCTCATATTTTGATCTCCACCCAGACTAAAAAGTTCTGGCTCATGCTCGGGGTTTCACGGAGGTACACCTTGCCGATGGGATCTACTGATGCCTGACCTAAAATCGTCATACCGCTTTTCAGCCAAAAGTACGACTGCATGCACACCCACCGACACGCATGTTCGGCATTCGCTCAAAGAGTGAGGTGACTGTGGGTGTGGGTGTGAGTTTCTTCTCTCCACCCACACACCCACATCCACCTACACCCGCACCCTTCAAACATGACCGATGTTTCATTGGCTCTTTTCGATTGTCATTATCAGCGTTTTTCTTGTTACCTATGTCTTTTATTGATATTGTGATTTGATCAGGACCTATTCGAAGGATAGAAGATTGAAATGTAAGGATGATTGAGAGGAGGAGAGATTGTAAGAGGGTGTGTTCGGACAAACTGCATAGAGATAGTATGAAGTGTAGGGAGAAAATCGCATCTTTCGCTGGAAAGAATTGAATATTTTCGATTATTGGAGGGTGTACATCCTTCACGGCCGTCCAATTGTGCGAGCCTTGCATCTGATACTCTGTGCAATAGTGTCTCAAAATGCATACCTTCGCAATAGAACTGACAACGACGTCACTTTATTCTCAACATGTATTGATTCAGCTTCGTTTCACCTGAATATTGATTGTGTTCTGTTTTCGTTGAAAGTTGGAAAAAACCAGCTGCTGACAGTTAACAAACTGCGCCATTTATCAATAGCTCGTGACTCTTCTACACAAATGAAAGCAAATACTCAAGTATATCTTGTGCAAATAAATCATCTTTTCCGTGAAAAAGAAGCACGAGAAAGTATGCATGGCATATTCAGATCCAATGATTCATGTGATGCAAAGAGCGCCTCCCCGGATCATTTGCATCCGGTCAGTTTCGACCGGCTTCGTATCTGTTCCGACGATATCCTTGCCAATGAATTCTGTTTAACGAATTACTAACTGGGTTCCGTTAGGTTCCGACTAGCTCAGACCGAAAACGGCCAAGAATAAGTTGGAAAATTCCGTTTACCTTTCGACTGGAATTCTGTGACAAGAAATTGACGGTATCCGACGGGTTCGATCATCGAAATGATCGACCTAAGTCACTTTCATCAAAACATAACTAGCGAACTTATCGTGTTAATTTCAGTCTAAGTTGAGAGATAAACTATCCAAGGATCTGTGCAGGTATGAAAACTCTCTGTTTTACCATACCAAAAACTTGTCTGATCCAATGTTACTTTGAAGAAAACGTCTGTAAATTGACGCCATTTCTTCTGCTTAGCTCCTTATGTAGATATTGATACTGATCATTTTGCCTCATCAGTACTGCAATCCTGATTCAATGTTATTGTAAAAACATTAGGCAAGTTCGAAACATTCCACCGTCAATCGACTGAAATATATTTCAGTTATGAGTAGCACAATAA